TTTTATGACACTACAGTCGGATTCAGGGGAGCTAATCTCAGGTGTGATACTACGTTATCTCCCCCTTTACTTGCCTCTACAGACTGGGCAGGAGATAATATTATGACATGGGCAGGTGAAACTCTAGCTACAGTAGTATTAGGTAACATTACATAAAGCAAGGTTGCTTTGTCTGGCTAGAGATTGGAAACGTAGTTTAAACAATTCTCAAATCCCTTGTAGTGGTTTTAGAACTTTTTTAGGCTCAGTGTCTATTGCTTATAATTCTTTGTCCTCTGAACATAAGAAATTATCAAACACAATATAACTTCTGAGACCACTGAGGTCATTTCGTCACAGGGGGGGGGGGGGGGGATCTCGAGACTATAAGGACAAGTCCCAGCCATATTTCACTGCAGGTGACTTCAGCCATACAATGGGGGGGTCTCAGTCGACAGACGTTTACAGCAAAGTGGCTGGTAATACAGAACTTTTGGACCGTAGACCGTATCTAACCATTCAGTTATCTGTCCTTCAGTCATTTGTCCGTCCAATCACAATCCTGTCCATCTAGTCGTCTTTCCGCCCAGTCATCTTTCCGCCCAATCATCTGTCCGTCCAGTCATCTGTCCGTCCAGTCATCTGCCCGTCCAGTCATCTGTCCGTCCAGTCATCTGTCTGTCCAGTCATCTGTCCGTCCAGTTATCTGTCCGTCCAATTATCTGTCCGTCCAGTTATCTGTCCATTAAATTATCTGTCCTTCCTATTATTTATCCGTCTAGTTATCTGTCAGTCCAGTCAGCAATACAATCATATGTCCGTCCAGTGATTTGTCTGTTCAGTCATCTGCCCTTCCAATCATCTGTCCGTCCAATCACATGTCCACTCAGTCTTCTGTCCGTTCAATCAATAGTCCACCCAATCGTCGGTCTGTCCAATCATGGGTCCATCCTATCATCTGTCCGTCCAATCATGTATCTGTCAAACATCGGTCCGTCCAATCATCGGTCCGTTTGACCGTTCAAATCGTCTGTCCGTCCAGTCGTCAATCTAATCATCCGCCAGTCATCTCTCCATCTCTCTCTCGCTCTCTCTCTCTCTCTATCTCTCTCTCTCTCTTTCTCTCTCACTCTTTCTCTCTCACGCTCTCTCTCTCTTTCTCGCTCTCTCTCTCTTTCTCTCTCTCTATCTCTCTCTCTCTCTCGCTCTCTCTTTCTCTCTCTCTTTTCGCTCTCACTCTCTCTCTTTCTCGCTCTCTCTCTTTCTTTCTCTCTCTCTTTGTCTCTCTCTCTCTTACTCTCTCACTCTCTCTCTCTTTCTCGCTCTCTCTCTTTCTCTCTCTCGCTCTCTCTCTCTCTTTGTCTCTCTCTCTCTCTCTCTCTCTCTCTCTCTCTCTCTCTCTCTCTCTCTCTCTCTCTCTCTCGCTGCCTGACAGTCTGTTAATTAACTGTCACTATTGTCCTTAGCTGTATGGATTTGTCGCTGACTCGTTGGCTAATTTATTGCCAAATTAGATTATATGTTTGTTAGGTTAGAGAAGGAAAGGGGGCGGGGTGGAGTTGAAACATTTGACCTGACAACGACCTTATGATAGCCATCTGTTAGTGGTCGCTGCCGACCCAGATTATCTCTGGATGTCCCTTGGCAACAAAAGGGAGAAGTGACTGCGGCACATGTGAAGCAGAAGACCACTACCCTTGGCTATAAATGTGTTTCAGCTCTAACTGAAAAAGAACAATGAATCAAGCACTGATCAACGTCTGTCTGCTGCTGGCAGTCAGTCTGGCTCAGGGAGATGACGTTCAAACCCTATCGTCTGCCACCAGGGGCTTCTCCCAGCAGCTCTACCAGAAGATCGCACTGGACAAGCCCAACACTGTCTTCTCTGGGTACAGGTAGGTCACGTGGTATCCATACGTCCTTTTTAAGATGAAATGTATTGTTATTTGAAGCCCCACCCTGGCTTTTGCCAGGGGCCTCAATATAGGCAGGCCATAAATATGGTCAATTGTCTGAACGCGGTTTCTGGGACTTTTCCACGGTGATCCTCATCCACATGGTGGCACTTTGTGTCATCGGGTGTTTATCGCTTGTGTGATGTCCTGGTGGGGTAGAAAGTCAGTCAGTCAGTCAGTCAGTCGGTCACGTGGTCTAATGGCGTCTGCTAGGCAGTAGTTAGATAACTAATGCAAAACCTATCTCCCAGAGTGTTGCCACTTTGGATGTTTTACATCCAGATTTAGATGTTTTCCCTTGCATTCAGATGGCGTTTTTGACGTTTAGATGGTAGATGTTTTTCTAGATGTTTTTCATTTGGAGGGAATTTATCAAATCTAAACTATGAAACAGGATGAAATTTGACCTCTTAAATGCTATCTTGACAATAAAATTCGACCTGATAAGAGTAGGAAAAAGCTGTTCCACTTATCAGCTCCCTGACTGGGTATTACAAGAAATTAGAACAGCTTAAGCATACCAGAGTCATTTTGGATCTAATGCTTCAACTTCCTCCTCCAAGCTAAGTTTATCGATTTTGTAACGCAGACTTCAGTAAAGATGAGGAAATGATTCTATGGGGTAAGTCATATCAATTGCTATGTAATTTGTGACTTTTTCTATTTGGATGTTTTCTCTAGATGTTTTCCACGCAAACTTAGATGTTTTTAGATATTTTTTGACTGCTTTTTGGATGTTTTTGTGAAAGAAAAGTGGCAACACTGCTCCCTCAGAATGTCAGAAAACAAAACAGAAGACATAAACAACAGCTGGCACAATTTGTTGCGGGAATATTTCATTGCATCTTGTTATGTGCATACTAGAACATGAAAACAACGTAAAACGCAGTTGAAAAATTTATTTTTTCTGCCGAAATACACACCAGACACCCAGTGTTTCAGTGTCAGTCTGACCAGCGCGGGAGCTTTCAACTGATCAACATGTCTGTCACTGTGCAGTGGCGGTACAATGGTGGGTTGCTCATCATCACTGCTACTCCGTCTGCTAACTACAAGGCGCGTCCATTGCGTTGTTCGTTATATTTTTCGAACCAAACATTTCTTGTCGGTAACATGTCTACAGTCCACCAGGTGGTGTGCTGTTTAAGATATATATATATATATATATATATATATATATATGTGTGTATAATGAATATCCAGAAACCATGAGTTGTTAATCATTTGGCTCGGTACTGTGGATATCGCAACCCTTTGGCCTTGATTCCACTTTGATGATCATCATCGTGATTGTAACTGACTCAGAAAGCATGCTGAGGAAGATCAGGACAGGCATGCTTCGTGCAGAGTGGCATGCCTCGCTACGGAAGACACGGGTGAGGGGCATTGTCTGGATTTTTTTCACTGGGTTACGCTGGTGTGTTGAGAAATGAACAGGCGGACAGACTGGCTGGCTCTGCACAGCTTGGTGGGATACTGATGCTTGATAAGGCAGACGTGGTTAGTGCCTTGTGGGAGAGCGTGTACAATTCGGAGGAGCAGATGGATCACCACAGTCTGGTGAGACTGATGCAGTTGAAAGTGACGAGAGGTTCTGGCAGACGCTCGAGGCTCAGAGGAAAGGCAAGACAGACGTTTAATCAGAATGCTACTGGCACCATTAGTATCGGAACTCTTCGCTGGCTGCTGAAGATGGGGACGGAGTGCTTATGGGAGTGCCCCGAGTGCTGTGATGTCGGTTCTTGAATCAAATCAAATCAAATCGATCATCATCATCATTAGGTACCTTGCCAACTGGCATGGGCGATCATGCCTCTCGACAATCTGTGATCTTCTGCAGCATGTATCAGTTTGTGTGCTGACACACCTCCATGCCATACAACAAGACTGTCAAGAATCTCCTCTCGTTGTCTTCTTTTATCCCTTCTTCCACAAATCTTTCCAGTGGATACAACATGTTCTATTTTCCCTCTTCTCATAACATGGCCGAAAAATGATGACTGTCTTCTTCTGATGTCTGTGATAAATTGTCTTCGGGCTCCTGCCTCTTTCAAAACACTCTTGGTTGCTCTCTTTTGGCTGCCTAGGGTATTCTAAGCATTCTTCTGTAAAACCACATCTTTGAGGCCTCAAGAAATTGTTTGGCCTGCCTACCGATTGTCCAGGATTCACAGCCATATGTTAAAACTGGATTTATGTAGCAAGCAAGAATTCTTTTTCTAACTCTCAGTGACAAAAATATATTGCACAATGTCTTCTTCATGTTAAAAAAATCCTCAAAAAATTACGGATTCCATGATAGATACCGTCAACCTGGGAGAAATTTGGCTTTTCTGACTACCACCCGGGCGTGAACCCGGACCCGAGCTGCGAGCTTAGCATATATAATACACACACACACACACACACACAAACACGTACACAGAGTTGTAATTTAACATGCATATCTTAGGGTTTGGGAGATGGAAGACAGAAGGAGGAAGAGGAGAAGGAGAAGGAAAAGAAGAAGAAGAAGAAGAAGAAGAAGAAGAAGAAGAAGAAGAAGAAGAAGAAGAAGAAGAAGAAGAAGAAGAAGAAGAAGAAGAAGAAGAAGAAGAAGAAGAAGAAGAAGAAGAAGAAGAAGATGATGATGATGATGATGAAAGGCGTTGAGATGATAGCGAACCTGACATCCACCGAATGCTGATCAGTCTGTAAATATGGCACTAGCACCATTTACCCAGCAAACCTCACAACAGCGTGAAAGTGTGTGCTTGTAAAAACTAGAATGTGGGACCAGCAGAGTTCAGTGAGAAGATCTAACCTCAGCCTCTATTCCCCACAGCATCCACTCGGCCTTGTCCATGACCTTGCTGGGAGCTCGCGGAGATACGGCTGCAGAATTGTCCACAGTTTTGGGACTGACGGCCTTGACTGGCAACTCCAGCCACCTGGCCTACCGTGACCTCATTGACCGGGTAATTATGTCATGTCTATTGTCGCCCCCCCCCCCACCCTTTCCTGGGCGTCGAGTTGGAGCTCCCCCCCCCACCCCCATCACCCCCCCCCCCCATCAGCCACTAAAACTATGATGTGTCAGCACCTGCAAAGACTCAGTACGACCAAGAAACTGAGTCCCTATTTGATATGAACATGAAGTGTACATGTCGTATACATGAAGTGTGCATGTTGTGTACATGAAGTGTACATGTTGTGTACGTGTTGTGTACATGTTGTGTACATGAAGTGTACATGAAGTGTACATGAAGTGTACATGTTGTGTACATGAAGTGTACATGAAGTGTACATGTTGTGTACATGAAGTGTACATGTTGTGTACATGTTGTGTACATGTTGTGTACATGAAGTGTACATGTTGTGTACATGAAGTGTACATGAAGTGTACATGTTGTGTACATGAAGTGTACATGTTGTGTACATGAAGTGTACATGAAGTGTACATGAAGTGTACGTGTTGTGTACATGAAGTGTACATGTCGTATACATGTTGTGTACATGTTGTTTACATGTTGTGTACATGTTGTCTACATGTTGTGTACATGTTGTGTACACGTTGTGTACATTAAGTGTACATGTTGTGTACATGTTGAGCAGTACACTCTGCAGTTCCACCAGTCGTGGCCCTTCTGGTGCTTCCTGAAATTGGAGAAGGGAAAAAGAAAGCACTGCAACACATTTCCTGCGGAGGTGGTATTTTAGTGTGAGACCGGAAAGCATAGGCGTCGCAGCCTGGAGCTCAGACTCCTTGAGCCCTCCCCCACCCCTCCCCAAATGTAGAGACATTTCACCGAAAGATGAGAAACAAAATGATGGAAATGTTATCCCTGTAAGTTAAATTTAAATTTGTGAATGGGGTTTGGTCCTGCTTCAGTGTCCTCTCCTCTGTTTCTGTGTGTGTGTGTGGCTCATCTCTGACTACCCCGGCGGGAACTACAATATCCAGAACCCCCATGGAAGATTCATCACTGTTTGTACATCATTGGTTTCAGCTGGTGACTCCGTGGCCGAGTGATTAGGGTGTGTGCATTACACTTGTAGGTTATGGGTTCTGTTTCTGATTACGACCCCGAGTGTTCATATGCTGGTGTTTAAAGCGTCTCTGGAGCTAGAGTTTCGTGCTTCATTCGACTCAATTTTTTTTTTTTCTAGCTGCTGTGGTATTTATAGACAAATTTACGTTCAGTTTTTTTGGGTCCTTAAACAGCCTTAAATTGATTTCAGCTGAACAGCGCCGAAAAAGTCAAACTGCACACAGCCAACGCCCTGTTTGTGAATCCCAACATCCCCATAGAAGCCCAGTTTGTGGCCGATACCCGCACTTACTATCAGGCCAAGGTTGAGAACTTTGACCTGGCGGCAGCAGGCGGCCCGGAGAAACAAATCAACGTTTACGTGGAGAACAAGACGGAGGGAGTCATCAAGGATCTTCTTTCTAAAGGTGGGTATCGTGGTGGTGCGGATAAGTCGATCAGAGATGGAATATGGTGGATCGGTATGGCTTTTTATGGATCAGTGTGGATGGTGGTGGATCAATGTGGATAAGGTTGACCACATTGCAGTATACTGCATTGCTTTTTTGTTCTCATTCAAAAATCAATAAAAGACGTTATTAATTTTATCTTCTTCTTCTTCTTCTTCTTCTTCTTCTTCTTCTTCTTCTTCTTCTTCTTCTTCTTCTTCTTCTTCTTCTTCTTCTTCTTCTTCTTCTTCTTCTTCTTCTTCTTTCTTCTTTTTCTTTCTTCTTCTTCTATCTTCTTCTTCTTTCTTCTTCTTCTTCTTCTTCTTCTTCTTCTTCTTCTTCTTCTTCTTCTTCTTCTTCTTCTTTTTCTTCTTCTTCTTCTTCTTCTTCTTCTTCTTCTTCTTCTTCTTCTTCTTCTTCTTCTTCCTCTTCTTCTTCTTTCTTCTTCTTCTTCTTCTTCTTCTTCTTCTTCTTCTTCTTCTTCTTCTTCTTCTTCTTCTTCTTCTTCTTCTTCTTCTTCTTCTTCTTCTTCTTCTTGTCCTCCTCCTCTGCTTCTTCATCTTCCTGTTCTTCTTTGACTACTACTTCTGCTGCTGTTTCATGACAATACTAATTGTACTGAAAATGATGATAGTGGCAATGATAATGATGGGGATAATTATGATAAAGTTAATGCTCGTAATGATGTTGACGACGATGACAAGGATAGTGGTGACTGCTGGAAAAAATGATGATAATGATGTTGATGATGATAATGATAATGATGACGACGACGACGACGATAATGAGGATGTCACTGATAAGGACAGTGATGATGACTACGATAATGATAAAGTAAAGATGTTGATGATGACTATGATAATGATAACAGTGATATTTAGCACCCATCCCTGCATCCCTGAATCAGCTGTGTCTATGTTTGCAGGAAGCGTGAGCGCCTCCACCTCCACGGTGCTTGTCAACACCGTCTTCTTCAACGGCACCTGGCTGCGCGTGTTCTCCGCCGGCAAGACCCAGCCACGTGACTTCCGGCAGCTGGGCGGGAAAAAATCTCAGGTTGATGATAGTTGTGGTTGCATGTTTCTGTCTCATCGATATTTGTGATTGTATCATTCTGTCCCAATAAATAGTGTGATTGTATCATTCTGTCCCAATAAATAGTGTGATTGTATCATTCTGTCCCAATAAATAGTGTGATTGTATCATTCTGTCCCAATAAATAGTGGGATTGTATCATTCTGTCCCAATAAATAGTGTGATTGTATCACTCTGTCCTAACAAATAGTGTGATTGTATCATTCTATCCCAATAAATAGTGTGATTGTATCATTCTGTCCCAATAAATAGGGTGATTGTATCATTCTATCCCAATAAATAGTGTGATTGTATCATTCTGTCACAATAAATAGTGTGATTGTATCATTCTGTTTCAAAAAATAGTGTGATTGTATCATTCTGTCGCAATAAATAGTGTAATTGTATCATTCTGTCCCAATAAAATAGTGTGATTGTATCATTCTGTCCCAATAAAAAGTGTGATTGTATCATTCTGTGCCAATAAATAGTGTGATTGTATCATTCTGTCCCAATAAAAAGTGTGTTTGTATCATTATGTCCCAATAAATAGTGTGATTGTATCATTCTGTCCCAGTAATAGTGTGATTGTATCATTCTGTCCCAATAAATAGTGTGATTGTATCATTCTGTCCCAATAAAACGTGTGATTGTATCATTCTGTCCCAATAAATAGTGTGATTGTATCATTCTGCCCCAATAAATAGTGTGATTGTATCATTCTGTCCCAATAAATAGTGTGATTGTATCATTCTGTCCCAATAAATAGTGTGATTGTATCATTCTGTCCCAATAAATAGTGTGATTGTATCATTCTGCCCCAATAAATAGTGTGATTGTATCATTCTATCCTAACAATAATCATGATTGCATATTTTGGTCCCAATGATAATGGTGACTGTATCAATATGTCCCATAGATGATTGTGATTGTACCTTGTATCCTTCTGTCCCGATGATAGTTGTGATTATATTCCACTGTCTCAGTAGTCGTTGTGATTATATCCTCCTGTCCTAGTGATAGTTGTGATTGTATCCTCTTGTCCTGATGATAGCTGTGATTATATCCTCCTGTCCTAATGATAGCTGTGCTTGTATCCTCATGTCGTAATGATAGCTGTGCTTGTATCCTCCTGTCCTAATGATAGCTGTGCTTGTATCCTTCTGTCCTAATGATAACTGTGATTGTATCCTCCTGTCCTAATTATAGCTGTGCTTGTATCCTCCTGTCCTAATGATAGCTGTGATTGTATCCTCCTGTCCTAATGATAGCTGTGCTTGTATCCTCCTGTCCTAATGATAGCTGTGATTGTATCCTCCTGACCTACTGATAGCTGTGCTTGTATCCTCCTGTCCTAATGATAGCTGTGATTGTATCCTCCTGTACTAATGATAGCTGTGATTGTATCCTCCTGTCCTAATGATAGTTGTGCTTGTATCCTCCTATCCTAATGATAGCTGTGCTTTTATCGTCCTGTCCTAATGATAGCTGTGATTGTAACCTCTTGTCCTGATGATAGCTGTGATTGTATCCTCCTGTCCTACTGATAGCTGTGCTTGTATCCTCCTGTCCTACTGATAGCTGTACTTGTATCCTCCTGTCCTAATGATAGCTGTGATTGTATCCTCCTGTCCTAATGATAGCTGTGCTTGTATCCTCCTGTCCTAATGATAGCTGTGCTTGTATCCTCCTGTCCTAATGATAGCTGTGATTGTAACCTCTTGTCCTGATGATAGCTGTGATTGTATCCTCCTGTCCTACTGATAGCTGTGCTTGTATCCTCCTGTCCTACTGATAGCTGTGCTTGTATCCTCCTGTCCTAATGATAGCTGTGATTGTATCCTCCTGTCCTAATGATAGCTGTGATTGTATCCTCCTGTCCTAATGATAGCTGTGATTTATCTGCATGCCTCACTTATAGCTGTTTTTGCACCATTATGCCTTAATGATAGTTGTGATTGTATCTTCTCACCCCAGTTATAGTTATGGTGTTATCTGCTTGTCTCACTGCTGTTCACTCTCTATCATCATTTCTCTGTCTGTCTGTCTGTCTGTCTGTCTGTCTGTCTGTCTGTCTGTCTGTCTGTCTGTCTGTCTGTCTGTCTCACTGTGTGTGTATATATATATATATGTGTGTGTGTGTATGTGTGTGTCTATATATATATATATATATTAAGAAGGGGGAAAGGGAAGAAGAAGTTGAGTGATCGCTGGGAAGAAGATGAAGAATAAGAAAGAAAAACAGAAGAATAAGAGAACAAACAATCCTGGCAGTTACTGTAAACCTTGGAATGAAAAGATCTTTGTAGACCAGTGATTCCCAAACTATGCGCCATGGCGTCCCGGGGGAGTCGTGACCTCTTCACGTGGACACCGCAAAATATTCGAAGATCCACGAGTTTTTTTTTTTTTTTTTTTTACATACTTCTTCTTCTTCTTCCTCTTCTTCTTGTTCACCGGCTGTAAACTCCGGCGGAAAGTTCTTGTTGATCGTCCACTTCTGGACTACAGTCCTGTTTTAGAGCCTGAGTGTTGCGTGTGCATCCATTTTTACAGATCTGACTCATTTATGTGCAGACTGTTAGTCCTTGTCTCACAGGCAAATGCGCTCCGCATTCGAAGGAGGCTCCCAATTAGTTGATTCTTACGACATGCTTTTGGGTAGGCAGTGGGTCTATTTAGGACTACAATAGGGCCCCGGAACCCACACGGGGAAAATTCTTACATACTTATAGTCATACTTTTACTTAGGTTAGGGCACCGTGAAAAAAAATTTAATTTAAAAAAAAAGGCGCTGCGACTAAGAAAAGTTTGATCTGGTAATCTGGTAATCCTAGTTTCAGCTTCATAGCAAACGGGTCACCCCATAGTTGCTCCGCTCCTGTGCCAACGAAAAACACACGTAGCTCACAGTGTCACACCATGCACTCAACTCAGAAGCTGGGCGACGAAACTATATGCTTCCAGTCTATAGGAAAAGTTTGGGAAACACTGTTGTAGACTGATGGTGTTTTTGTTGTTGCGTGCAGGTGAGCATGATGAACGACGACCGGTCTGTGAACATCAAGAGAAACGTGCTGGGAGCTGACGTGGCCGAGCTGCCCTTTGTCGGCAACCGGTTCGCTCTCTACATCGCCCTGCCCACCAGCGTTGATGGCATCACCGAGTTGGGTAGGAGTCCTGTCTGTCGTCTGTGTGTTGGTTGTTTGGGTAATTCCTGGGTTGATTGATCATAGGGCGGAGGGTTTGTTACTGGATAAGTTCACTGACTGGTTGGTAAATTAGCTGGATCATTGGTTGATTGGTTTCTGTGTTGAGTTGATTGGTTGGCTAGTTGATTGATTGGTTTGTTTACTGTTTGATTTGTTGGTTGATTGGTTAGTCAGATGGTTGGTTTGCTGGTTGACTGGTTGATTGTTTAGTTCATTCATTGGCTGGTTGTTTGATTGGCTTACTGGTTGGTTGCCTGCTCAGTTTGTTGGTTTTCTGTTTGACTTTCTAGATGTTTAGTTGGTTGGCTGGCTGGTTAGCTAGTTGGCTGTTTGGTTGTTTGGTTAGTCGAGTGTCTGGTTGTCGGGTAGGAGAAACAGGTGTAGCACAAGAGACAGGACGCTTGACTCGTTGGCTACACATAGCGAACAACATCATGCAGCGTGGACTTCAAGAAGATGTAGACTCCACTGCTATTCTAACTGTCTACTCTACATCTTGGTCAGCTGTCTACTCTACATCTTCGTCAACTATCTACTCTATCTATTAGTCAATTGTTTAGTCTATATCTTGGTCGACTATCTACTTTATATCTTGGTCAACTTCACATCATGGTCAACTATCTACTCTACATCTTGGTGAACTATCTACTCTACATCTTGGTCGACTATCTACTTTACATCATGGTCAACTATTTACTCTACATCATGTTCAAATATCTACTCTACATCTTGGGGAACTATCAACTCTACATCATGTTCAAATATCTACTCTACATCTTGGGGAACTATCAACTCTACATCATGTTCAAATATCTACTCTACATCTTGGGGAACTATCAACTCTACATCATGTTCAACTATCTACTCTACATCATGGTCAACTATCAACTCTACTATCTCATGTTTCAAATATCTACTCTACATCTTGGGGAACTATCTTGGTCAACTTCACATCATGGTCAACTATCTACTCTACATCTTGGTCGACTATCTACTTTATATCTTGGTCAACTTCACATCATGGTCAACTATCTACTCTACATCTTGGTCGACTATCTACTTTATATCTTGGTCAACTTCACATCATGGTCAACTATCTACTCTACATCTTGGTGAACTATCTACTCTACATCTTGGTCGACTATCTACTTTATATCTTGGTCAACTTCATATCATGGTCAACTATCTACTCTACATCTTGGTGAACTATCTGCTCTACATCTTGGTCGACTATCTACTTTATATCTTGGTCAACTTCACATCATGGTCAACTATCTACTCTACATCTTGGTCGACTATCTACTTTACATCATGGTCAACTATTTACTCTACATCATGTTCAAATATCTACTCTACATCTTGGGGAACTATCAACTCTACATCATGTTCAAATATCTACTCTACATCTTGGGGAACTATCAACTCTACATCATGTTCAAATATCTACTTTACATCTTGGGGAACTATCAACTCTACATCATGTTCAACTATATACTCTACATCTTGGTGAACTATCTACTCTACACCTTGGCCGACTATGTACTTAACATCATGGTCAACTATTTACATCATGTTCAACTATCAACTCTACATCATGTTCAACTATCAACTCTACATCATGTTCAACTATCTACTCTACATCATGGTCAACTATCAACTCTACATCATGGTCAACTATCTACTCTACATCTTGGTGAACTATCCGCTCTACATCTTGGTCGACTATCTACTTTATATCTTGGTCAACTTCACATCATGGTCAACTATCAACTCTACATCATGTTCAACTATCAACTCTACATCATGGTCAACTATCTACTCTACATCATGGTCAACTATCAACTCTACATCATGTTCAACTATCTACTCTACATCTTGGTCGACTATGTACTTAACATCATGGTCGACTATTTACTCTACATCATGTTCAAATATCTACTCTACATCATGGTCAACTATCTACTCTACATCATGGTCAACTATCTACTCTACATCATGGTCAACTATCTACTCTACATCATGATCAACTATCTACTCTACATCATGGTCAACTATCTACTCTACATCATGATCAACTATCTACTCTACATCATGGTCAACTATCAACTCTACATCATGTTCAACTATCAACTCTACATCTTGGTCGACTATCAACTCTACATCATGGTCAACTATTAACATCATGTTCAACTATCAACTCTACATCATGGTCAACTATCTACTCTACATCATGGTCAACTATCAACTCTACATCATGGTCAACTATTTACATCATGGTCAACTATCAACTCTACATCATGGTCAACTATCTACTCTACATCATGGTCAACTATCAACTCTACATCATGGTCAACTATTTACATCATGGTCAACTATTTACATCATGGTCAACTATCAACTCTACATCATGGTCAACTATCTACATCATGTTCAACTATCAACTCTACATCATGGTCAACTATCAACTCTACATCATGGTCAACTATCTACTCTACATCATGGTCAACTATCTACTCTACATCATGGTCAACTATCTACTCTACATCATGGTCAACTATCAACTCTACATCATGGTCAACTATCAACTCTACATCATGGTCAACTATCAACTCTACATCATGGTCAACTATCAACTCTACATCATGGTCAACTATCAACTCTACATCATGTTCAACTATCTACTCTACATCTTGGTCGACTATGTACTTAACATCATGGTCGACTATTTACTCTACATCATGTTCAAATATCTACTCTACATCATGGTCAACTATCTACTCTACATCATGGTCAACTATCTACTCTATATCTTGATGAACTATCTACTCTACATCTTGGTCGACTATCTACTTAACATCATGGTCAACTATTTACATCATGTTCAACTATCAACTCTACATCTTGGTCAATATCTACTTGCAGAAACTGCCCTGGCTGTCCAAGGAAATGTGGAGCAGCTCTTCCAGGGACTCACCTCTCGACGGGTCAAGCTCAGCATCCCCAAGTTCAGGGTCGAGTCTCAGTTTGGACTCAACGAACCCCTGAAACAGCTGGGACTCGTGCAACCTTTCAGCCCCAGCAGTGCCAATTTCCAGGGAATCAGCCGCGTCGGTGAGTGGATATTCTCTCTGTCCATTTTCTTTCTCATCATCATCATCATTATCGTCGTCATCATCATCAAAATAATAATCATTATCACTAATGTAATAAAATATTTTGTAGAACGTGGATCTCACCTGAGTCGCCTAAGAACAGAAAACCTTATTGTTGTCCACTTCCTCTGTCTTCTGCTGTTGTAGCCCATGTGTATGTGATGTTTCTGTCTGAGGCTGGAGCCCATGTGTATTGTGTTGTTTCTGTCTGATGCTGGAGCCCATGTGTATGTGATGTTTCTGTCTGATACTGGAGCCCATGTGTATGTGATGTTTCTGTCTGACGCTGGAGCCCATGTGTATGTGATGTTTCTGTCTGATACTGGAGCCCTTGTGTATGTGATGTTTCTGTCTGATGCTGGAGCCCATGTGTATGTGATGTTTCTGTCTGATACTGGAGCCCTTGTGTATGTGATGTTTCTGTCTGATGCTGTTGTAGCCCATGTGTATGTGATGTTTCTGTCTGATACTGTAGCCCATGTGTATGTGATGTTTCTGTCTGACGCTGGAGCCCATGTGTATGTGATGTTTCTGTCTGATACTGGAGCCCTTGTGTATGTGATGTTTCTGTCTGATGCTGGAGCCCATGTGTATGTGATGTTTCTGTCTGATACTGGAGCCCTTGTGTATGTGATGTTTCTGTCTTATACTGGAGCCCATGTGTATGTGAAGTTTCTGTCTGATACTGGAGCCCTTGTGTATGTGATGTTTCTGTCTGATGCGGGAGCCCATGTGTCTGTGATGTTTCTGTATGTTTCTATAGTAGCCCAGGTGTCTATTATGTTTTTTGTCTGATGCTCTAGCAGCCCAGGGTGTCTGTGATGTTTTTATCTGATGCTGTAGTAGCCCAGGTGTCTGTGATGTTTTTATCTGATTTTCTAAAAGCCCAAATGTCTTTGGTGTTTCTTTCTGATGCTGTAATGGTCCAGGTGTCTGTGATGTTTTTGTCTGATTCTGTAGTAGCCCAAGATGTATGTGATGTTTCTGTCTGTTTCTGTAATAGCACAGGGTGTCTGTAATGTTTCTCTCTGATGCTGTAGTAGCCCAGGTGTCTGTGATGTTTCTATTGAATGATGCAGAAGCCTAGTTGTATGTGATGTTTCTGTCTGATGCTGTAGTAGCCTAGGTGTCTGTGATGTTTCTGTCTGATGCTGTAGTAGCCTAGGGTGTCTGATGTTTCTGTCTGATTCTGTAGTAGCCTAGGGTGTCTGATGTTTCTGTCTGATTCTGTAGTAGTCCAGGGTGTCTGTGATGTTTCTGTCTGATGCTGTAGTAGCCTAGGTGTCTGTGATGTTTCTGTCTGATGCTGTAGTAGCCCAGGTGTCTGATGTTTCTGTCTGATGCTGTAGTAGCCCAGGTGTCTGTGATGTTTCTGTCTGATTCTGTAGTAGTCCATGGTGTCTGTGATGTTTCTGTCTGATTCTGTAGTAGTCCAGGGTGTCTGTGATGTTTCTGTCTGATTCTGTAGTAGTCCATGGTGTCTGTGATGTTTCTGTCTGATTCTGTAGTAGTCCAGGGTGTCTATGATGTTTCTGTCTGATTCTGTATTAGTCCAGGGTGTCTGTGATGTTTCTGTCTGATTCTGTAGTAGTCCAGGGTGTCTGTGATGTTTCTGTCTGATTCTGTAGTAGTCCAGGGTGTCTGTGATGTTTCTGTCTGATTCTGTAGTAGTCCAGGGTGTCTATGATGTTTCTGTCTGATGCTGTAGTAGTCCAGGATGTCTGATGTTTCTGTCTGATTCTGTAGTAGTCCAGGGTGTCTGTGATGTTTCTGCCTGATTCTGTAGTAGTCCAGGGTGTCTGTGATATTTCTGTCTGATTCTGTAGTAGTCCAGGGTGTCTGTGATGTTTCTGTCTGATTCTGTAGTAGTCCAGGGTGTCTGTGATGTTTCTGTCTGATTCTGTAGTAGTCCAGGGTGTCTGTGATGTTTCTGTCTGATTCTGTAGTAGTCCAGGGTGTCTGTGATGTTTCTGCCTGATTCTGTAGTAGTCCATGGTGTCTGTGATATTTCTGTCTGATTCTGTAGTAGTCCAGGGTGTCTGTGATGTTTCTGTCTGATTCTGTAGTAGTCCAGGGTGTCTGTGATGTTTCTGTCTGATTCTGTAGTAGTCCAGGGTGTCTGTGATGTTTCTGTCTGATTCTGTAGTAGTCCAGGGTGTCTATGATGTCCTGTGTCCACGGTTGACGCCTGCTCATCTCATGAAGCATTTCTTCCGTTAGTATTCTGTCCAAATCACGAGACTCTTCTTCTTGTGCCTGTAATCTCCCAGTAGATCCCCAAAAATGGCACCAAGGTTGTGTAGTCTTGTGTCTGTAGTTCCAGTTGTCACCGGGACAGAGTTGCAGGTGAATTGTGGCTGTGTCTGACGAGAGGCTTGATCAAACAATCATTGGAGGTATTTGGTACAGCTCAGTCAGACGGGACAGCTCAGTCAGACGGGACAGCTCAGATAGACGGGAAAGCTCAGATAGACGGGACAGCTCAGATAGACGGGACAGCTCAGATAGACGGGACAGCTCAGATAGACGGGACAGCTCAGATAGACGGGACAGCTCAGATATACGGGACAACTCAGATAGACGGGACAGCTCAGTCAGACGGGACAGTTCAGAGAGACCGGACAGCTCAAACAGACGGGACATCGCAGACAGACAGACAGACAGACAGACAGACAGGCAGCGGGAGGGGGAAATACACACATTAGGAAGAAAATGAAAAGAAAGTCAGATAAATATTTTTTTAAAGTAGAAAGAGACTTTCAACAAGTTAAAGTCGAGAGGATTGACTTCATTGCTCTAGGTTATCACACATGGCCAGAAATTTCTGTAGATTGCCGAGCCTCCTTCAAGCGTGTCGCACAAACCCCGAACTCCGCAACTCAAGCGACGATCCCCAGGGGTCTCCACAAAAATTGCACTGGTGGGCTCAGTAACATTTCTGTGAAATGAACCCACGATCTTCAGAGCGCGAGTTAACCGGCGCCACCTCCCCCCCCCCCCCCACACACACACACCACACTCACACACCCACAAACACCCACACACACACACTTACACACACTCACACACACTCACATACTCCCACACTTACATACACACACACTCACACACACATACACACACACTCACACACTCACATACACACTCCACACACACACACACACACATACACACACACTCACATACTCACACTCACACACACACACACACACACACACACACACACACACACGCACGCACACACACATCATATACAAGTGCTGACATGTCTGGGTGGAAAGTGGACAAACAATAGACAGAAGGATGGGAAGAACATTAATAGATAATCAATGACGTATTTGTGATAATCTCCGCTGATGAGCTGTGTGTGTACGTGTGTGTATGTTTGTGTGCTTGCAGATAGGTTGGTGATCACCGATGTCCTGCACAAGGCGGTCATTGAGACCACCGAGACCGGGACCACAGCTGCAGCTGCGACGGCGGTCATCGTGGGACTGACCTCGGTCATGGAGCCACCAGCCGAGCTCTTCGATGCTGACCACCCGTTTCTCTTCTTTCTGGTTGACAAGGAAACAAACAGCACTTTGTTCGAGGGAAAGTTCTCTGGTTAAACATTGTGTTCCAGGGGACAGTTCTCTGGCTAAACATTGTGTCCCAGGTAAAGTTCTCTGGTTAAATATTTTGTTCAAGAGAACGCCAGTTAGAAACATTTTGTTCCAGAGAAAGTTCTCCAGTTAAATATTTTGTGATGACATGTACAGTGTGTTTTTGTTGCTTGAATAAAGGCACATTAAACTAGTTGAGGGATATTTCCTTGCATTTGATTGATCATTGGTTGTGTGATAATTTCTTGTGTGATCATTTCTTGTGTAATCATTTCTTGTGTAATCATTTCTTGTGTGATCATGTCTTGTGTGATATTGTCAACTGTGTTGCTTTCATGCAGAGTCAGAACTTACTCGATATATCTGCCTGCCTTCAAGTTTTTTTTCCGTTTATGTTTGTGTGAGTCTTTTGGAAGGATTAAGAAAAGGATGGACAGAAAGGCGACTCCAGGAGATCCCCTCCCTGGCACAACGCTCATTCCCTGTCCTCACTGTCCAAGAACTTTTCGAGCCTGCATCGGCCTCATCAGTCATCTTCGTACTCATACTTGATGAAAAAGAGTGGTCATCATAATCTTGATGGACAACCAGTCATCTTTGTACTCATACTTGATGAAAAAAGAGTGGTCATCATCATCTTGATGGACAACCAGTCATCTTTGTACTCATACTTGATGAAAAAAGAGTGGTCATCGTCATCTTGATGGACAACCAGTCATCTTTGTACTCATACTTGATGAAAAAAGAGTGGTCATCATCATCTTGATGGACAACCAGTCATCTTTGTACTCATACTTGATGAAAAAAGAGTGGTCATCATCATCTTGATGGACAACCAGTCATCTTTGTACTCATACTTAATGAAAAAAGAGTGGTCATCATCATCTTGATGGACAACCAGTCATCTTTGTACTCATACTTGATGAAAAAAGAGTGGTCATCATCATCTTGATGGACAACCAGTCATCTTTGTACTCATACTTGATGAAAAAAGAGTGGTCATCATCATCTTGATGGACAACCAGTCATCTTTGTACTCATACTTAATGAAAAAAGAGTGGTCATCATCATCTTGATGAACAACACACTCACTTTCACCACGACTGAGCTAAAGCCTTGAACTCGAGGATATGCTAAGAATGATGAATTTTCAATGTAAGACTCTCGTGAGTTTACTTTGCTTGGGGAGATGGGGTGGGGGGGGGGGAAGGGGAGATGGGGGGAAGGGGAGATGGGGGGAGGGGAGATGGGGGGGGCAGCATACTGTTTTCCCATCTTTCATTTGACACCGTTAGTGCAGACGTCATCTTGACGTCATCTGTCAAAGGCGTGTGCGTTCTATAACATATTCTGGTATACCTTTCGGTCGGGTTCAACTAGGAATGAAAGCTCAGTCTTCTTCTTCTTTGCGTGGTCACCAGCTGTACACTCTGGCGGAAAGTTCTGGTTGCTCGTCCATTATTGAACTGCAGTCCTGCTCCAGAACCTGAGTTTTGTGTGCATCAGTTTTACAGATCGCATTCTCTTGAATATAGACTGTCGGTTCCTTGCCTCTCCGGCAGATGCACTCCGACTTCAAAGGAAGCTCCCCAATTAGTCGACTCCTACGACATGCTTTTGGGGAGGCAGTGGGTCTGTTCTTGTTTTCCCCCACAATGGGGCCCCAGAACCCACACGGGTGAAAGCTCAGTACACACGCACACTAGGATCGCCAGAACGATTCTCCACCAGGGGAAGTCACTCTCAGTCCAGCAGTGAAAATATGCCGATATTTCGACCCATCCCCGATTTTGATCTCAGGTGAGGGCGGTAACCGGATTAATTGCGGCACACTTTTGTTTACACACCTGATTACCAGGTTACACACCTGAGATCAAAATCGGGGATGGGCCGAAATATCGGCATTTTTTCACTACTGAACTGAGAGTGACCTTCCCCTGTGGTGGACACGTTGCCTTACTGCTTCTGTCTTCCCCGCATTCTAAGTCGTCTGTATTGTGAATGTCCGACTGGTTTTGTTCATTGAGCCAAATTTCATGTCTCCTCTCCCTAGTCCGTCTGCCCTTCCTTTCTTCCTTCCACACTAAAAGTATTCATCTACCGTCCTTTTTAGGATGAAATCTTTCGTTATTTGAAGCCCCACCCTGACTCTTGTCAGGGACCGCAAATAAATATAAATATGGCCTAATGGCTAAATGCAGTTTCTGGGACCTTTCCACGGTGATCCTCATCCACATGGTGGCAAATTGTGTCATCAGGGTGTTTATCGCTTGTGTGATGTCCTGGTGGGGTAGAAAGTCAGTCAGTCCTTCCAGACTGGAGCCGCCGCAAAGATCTCAGCTCCCAAGTTTTACATTTGTACTGAGTTTGGATTTCGGAAAAATAGCGACAACAGAAAGCTATTATTTTCTAAAGATGCTGAATGAAAAATATATATAGAAGTCCAGAAAAGTATCTATGCATGTTTCATAGATTACAAGAAGGCCTTTGACCAGGTGCAACATGAAAAACTTACTACACGCCTCCAAAATATAGGATTAGATGGAAAGGATATCAGAATTTTTATTAACGTATACTGGGAACAAATAGCAACAGTTAGACAAAACAAGCATCTCTTCACCACAGGCAGAGATAAAAAGAGAAGTATGTCAGGGATGTGTGTTATCGCTAAGCCTTTTCAACTTACATACAGAAAACATTTTTAAACAATGGATACCATCCCACTGTGGAGTTCCTGGAAATGAAAGAGCTGATAAACTAGCTAAGGAAGGTGCAATTGAAGAACAACCTGACGTACCAGTCTCTTATCAACAGAAGAATAGAATAATCAAATCAGTCAGAAAGCCACCAAAACTGGCACAAGATGATTACCATTTAATGGACAGACCAGAGCAAGTCATTATTCTACGCCTTAGAACAGGACACAATCGACTTCGCTGCCACACGTACACACAATTTAAAATCTTCGAATCAACTATGTGCACATTTGGACTGGCACCTGAGACAACAGATCATGTCCTCCAAGACTGTCCCAAAAACAACATATCAAGACAAAACTTTTGGCCAAGAGAAACATCGGTGCAAGTCAAACTGTACGGGTCGCTGAGTGAATTACAAAAGACAGTGAAGTTCATACTAGAGACAACATTGCAGACCTAGATCTATTTCAAGCGAACGAAGGAAAGAGGAGAAGATTTTTAAATAGGCTGAGGAATTGTCTGGACTGAATATTAATGGAAGAATAATAAACAATCTGAGATATGCAGATAACTAAGTGCTACTAGCAAAAAGCGAGCAAGAGTTAGAAGAACTGTTTGATCACGTCAACAGGTGGCGTGCAGAGTAATTACTATGGTAATTAACAATGGAAAAGAGCGGACAGAAGTGAACATCACAGTAAACGGAGAGCTATTATAACAAGTTTCTCCTATCTGGGACAACGTAGTAACAAATGATGGAAGGAGCGAAAAAGAAATCAAAAAGAGAACAGGAATGGCTAAATATGTCTTAAATGTGCAAATCACTGACAGCTATAGAGATAAACAACACACTAAAAATGAGAATCGTCAAATGTTATCTGCGTGTATTAGCGGCGTCCGTGCTAAGGCGTTGCGAGTCCGACTCGCAATCCAACGTACCGCGATCGAAACCCACTGCGGGCTGCGTGGATTTTTAGCGTGGTATGGGACGTCGCAAGTCGACCCAGCCTCAAATGTGGAAGATGGCTGTCCTGGGGAAGTAAGAACGGCCGCATTACCCACCGAGTGCCGATTGGTCTGTATTGGTCTGCCCCATTCTCCTAAGGGCTCTTTACTTTTTTTTAACTTCTTTTACTGCGTGTATCAGTTCGTGCGGTGACACCCTTCCGTGCCATGACAAAATACTGGCAAGAATCTTCTCACGCTGTCTTCCCCAGTCTCTCGTTCCACGGATCTTTCCTATGGTCACAACATCTTCCATTTTCTCTCGTCTCATAACATGACCAAAATATGATGGTTGCCTTTTTCTGTTGTTTGTGATATGCTGTCTTCAAGCATTCACCTCTTTCAAAACATCTGGCTTCCTCTTCTTAGCTGTCCAAGGAATTATAAGGATTGTTCTGTAAAACTATATCTCCGAGGCCTCAAGATATTGTACGGCTTGTTTATTAATTGTCCAGGATTTACAGCCGTATGTGAAAACCGGCTCTATATAGCATGAGAGAATTTTTTACCTACCTAAACTCCAACGACATGGATTTATTGCATAAAATGTTCATTTTATAAAATGCACTTTTGGCCTGTCCTATTCTATTCTGTATCTCTGTCATACATCTTCATTCGGATGTTATTTATGTGCCTAGATACATTTCTGTACTTGTCACAAAATAACACCTTTGACTTTTATTACACATTTAGGCGCTATTGTTTTCTTGGAAACCACTATTACTTCTGTCTTTCCATCCTGCTATGTGGTGCAGAAACACGGTCAATGAACAAGCAACTAGAAAATCGAAATTGTCTATGAAAATTGGGTATACAGAAGAATAAGTCATATTTCATGGAAACAGAATTAGTCCAATGCAGAGGGTCTGGGAAGAATACAAACGAAAAGAAAATCAGTGAAATAATTATTTAAAAAAAAAAAAAAAGACAACTGAAATATTTCGACCACTTTAAAAGCATAACATGTTTTTAAAAACCATACTGGGGGGAAAGGTTGGAGCAAGAGATGGGCAACGTTACAAGTGGAAGGACAACATCAAGAGACGGACAAATAGCAGTCGCAGAGTGTGTACAACCAGGACAAGAGAAGGGTGTGTTGGAGATCCATTGCAGCCAACTTGCGTTGTGGAGATGGCACCTCAACTGACTGAGTAGATAAGAGAAAGTCCAACGTTGTGAGTCTAGCAGTGATCCTCGTATCTGTTGATCCCCGACGTTTGGTGGTGAAATTATTAACATTGTGTGCTGTAAGGTTAGCTCTCTAGGTATGTGTTGTATATATATATAATATATCACTGGTTG